GCTTCCATTTCTAAGGGGTGAGTTAACTCTTGTCTGTGAGAAACAGAAGAAAGACCCTCCACAAAGTGCAAGCCTATGCAAAGCCACTTGGAGTCTGTAAAACCGAAGAAACACTGTCTAAGAGGAGTGGGCCAGCAGTGAGAGGCCTGGCCTCCAGGGAGCGGACCCTGACGCCACATGGCCTGCTCGACGTGGTCACCTGTGGAACGGGGACAGTGAGCTTTGCCGTGTTGTGAGTAATGAAGGAGGTGGGCACCTGACAATGGGTAGCTGCCCATTAAATGGCACCTACTTTCCCTCTGCTCCTATCCAGCCTTCCGGCAGCACCACTGTCATTCCACAGAACACAGTGAGATAAAGGGAATGCTAATGCCCTGAACTGCAATTATTTTCCTAGATTCTCATTTTTCTGTTGACCAATTTGGGGAGGCCACATGAAGGAACTTGTGAGGAAGAAACAGTGAATTCTGACTGTTGTGTGGTCCTGCTTGAGGTTTGCTTGGCTCTCCCCGAGGGGATTTAGTTCCCAGAAGCCCCAGAGAGATCTTGGTAAAGCCCAACATGAGGTTTCAGACCTATAGGATGAGAGTCCTAATGAAGTTGTTGCAAAACACATTTCTATTGCTAGTGATGCAGGGTACATCCGCTAGAAGACGTGAAGCCAACGTATTTCTGCAGATTTGTCTTTTGTTTGGAGGAAGAGGCTCCTCCGCTGATAAATATTCTGTCCTCATATGTTTTTGAACTGTTTAAAGGGTTTACCTACATCTTGTGTGGGAAGCAAATATTTCTCAATTCACTGAAAAAAAAAAGAAAAAGAAAAAGAAAACCACTATATCACATGATGGGGGGGGAAATATTTTCTTTCCCCTTTCATTAAAAAAAAAAAAAAAAAACAAAAACCCAAACATAACAATGAATAATGAAAGGAAAACAGACGGAGCCGTTCCATTCCATGCAGGAGGGGCGGAGTAGCTGCAGGGGACAGCTGCAGCGCGTCTGGTGTCCCAATTCCTTCCTTTCCCATCACTTTATTACTTACTGGACCAAGAATGTAGACAATTTCGGCTATGGTTGTTTTGCATTTTAGTTTCTCAGCTTAATCCTACATGGTGCTCCTTTGGCCCCTGCACTGAGTCCTAAGCCGACGGGGTCACTTCAGTCTGTTGTGTGTAGCCACACATGCGGGGCTCCTATTCCTTTACCAGCTCCGCCTCTTCCCATGAGGCCCTGGAAATTTGGAAGGACTTGAGGTCTTGGCTTGGGCTGCTGTTACAGGTCGAGTGGCTTAAACAACAAACATTTCTCACAGTTCTAGAGGCTGGAAGGCCAAGATCAAGGTGTCAGCAGATTCAGCGTCTGGTGAGAGCCCTCTTCCTATCTGGCAGATGGCCACCTTCTTGCTGTATCCTGACATGGCAGAGAGAGAAAACTCTGGCCTCCTCATCTTCTTCTAAGGGCATCGTGGAAACTAATCCCATCAAGGGAGGTCTACCCTCCTGACCTCACTAAGCCTGATTATCTCCCAAAGGGCCCACCTCCTCATGCCATCACAGGGAGGAGTAGGGAGTTTTGCAGAGACACCAATATTCAGCCCATAGCACTCATATTTGCTTTTATCAAAATCATCAAGACCTTTATGTCTCTTTCAAGCATTTCTCACTGTGGTTTTGGTTGGGGACCAACTGACTGCATGCTCACACACCAACACCGTGTCACCTTCAGTGAGATGCTATCAGCTGTTAGGGCTTCCCTCACAAATCCATATAGTGAAGCCCTAATCCCCATGGGACAGTCTTTAGAGGTGAGTCTTTTGGGAGATTATTAAGTGTAAGTGAGGTCATGAGGATGAGACCCCCATGATGGGATTAGTGCCCTTATGAGAAGAGGACAGAGATCGTCTCTGTCCAGGAGCAGGCCCAGGAAGGGCCACCTGAGCACAGTGAGGTGACTGTCCACAAGCCAGGACGAGAGGCTTCACCAAAGACCGACCACACTAGTACCTTGATCTTGGACCTCTAGGCTCCAGCACTGAGCAAAATAAATGTGTTGGTTGAGCCACCAAATCTATGGTATTTTTGTGATAAAAGCTTGAGCTGACTGGGATGCAAGATGACTTTAATTCTCTTAAACTGAAAAGGCACAGAGAGCAGAGAAATAATGAATGTGCTGCTTCCTAAGGGAGTGTTTGATTCGTTTCTGAAAACATGCTTCTGAACTTACAGAAAAACTCTTAGAAGGGAAGATTTCCATCATAATATTGACTGTTACAGATCTGAAGAAAAAAGATTCTGTTCTATAATATAATTACAATCTCCCTTCCCCAATTCTTCCTTCAAACTATCACTTTTTTCTTATTTTTACAAATTTTCATAGCTCTTGAGTTTCCTGATAGGTGATGGGCACTAAGGAGGGCACTCGAAGTAATGAGCACTAGGTGTTGTACGCAACTATGAATCACTGACTTCTACCTCTGAAAACTAATAATAATACGGTATATGTTAATTAAATTGAATTCAAATAAAACATTAAAAAATAAACCAAAAATAAAAATATTACTATCTCTCTCAGCATGTAAGGAACCTAATACTATAACTATATGGAAACTCATTAAATGCAGAATCACCATGTAGAATTCTATATCCTTACTAGTGATACGCCGTTTCTTCTAGGAAAGTTGTGTGTTTCTGAGAATTTTGACAAAGGATACATTATTTCACTACTGGAAATTGGGCCTAATATAGCTGAGATTCCTACATGGTTACATGGCAACACAGGTTGTTTTTTTTTCTCTAATATTTTACTTATTTATTTTGGAAGAGCAAGAGAGCATGTGTGTGCTTGTGTGTGTGTGCGTGCACAAGTCGGGGAGGGACAGAGGCAGGGGGAGAGAGAATTTTTTTTTGTATATTTTTTAATTGGAGTTCGATTTGTCAACATATAGCATAACATCCAGTGCTCATCCCGTCAAGTGCCCCCCTCAGTGCCCATCACCCAGTCACCCCAACCCCCAGCCCACCTCTCCTTCCATTACCCCTTGTTGGTTTCCCAGAGTTAGGAGTGTCTCATGTTTTGTCACCAAGAGAGAGAGAATCTCAAGCCGACCCCACATCTGTGTCTGTCTGACATGGTGCTCTCCCCTACAACCACGAGATGGTGAACTGAGCCAAAATCAGGAGCCAGACACCTAACTGACTGAGCCACTGAGGTGCGCTCATGGTAACAAAGTTTTGCTCAAGCTACATGTGCTCCTTGTGGGCTCAGGGGGCAGGGGTGCATTTATTAATACAGAAACTCATATCCCATTATGACTCATATCCCATTATGTCAGCCACTCACTCTTGCTAATTAAACGTGATCTGCTGCCATCATGGATTAAGTGGTGTCAAGTCATTCAAACACACTTACCAAAGATTTCGTGCTTATTACATTTATCGAGAACTCTCACCCAAACCAGTGCTGCATTTTATGCAAATGGGAAGACTGAGATTTGGGCCAGAAGTTACACTAAGAAAATCCTGTGCTAGGAAGAGAATTTGCCCCAGAACCTCGTGGGGCATGTGTTAAAAATGCATATTCCCTGCCTCCAGACCCAGAATTTCTGCCCTAAGAATTGGGAAGGATGGAAGCCAGAAATCTGGTTTAACAAGAACTGTGGGTGATTCTGAGGTCTTTGATCCACTTTGAAAAACATGTTGTAGTTGTGTCGGGTCCTATATGGAGTTTAGAAATCACAAACAAAGAAACTACTCTGAGCAAGATGGGCAAAGGCAAAATTCTGAAGTTGGAACACTGTGCTCTGTTTTCAATTAATTTTCTCTCTTTTCAGGCTCTTTAGGTGGCCTCACTATTGGGTTTCCATGAGGCTCTTACCAAGCTCTGCAGATATTTTTTCATCCTTTTCTCTCTGTCCTCCCTCCCATGTTAAGCCTTGGGTGTCATGGCCAAGTTGGCAGCCAGATGTCTGATTAGCTATCCATGCCAAGGGGTTATGAGTAGCCAATGCTTTAATGTGTGGTTCTCCAGAGTTTGTGTTCTTTTTAACAAAGGGCTCTAGGAAGTTGGGATGGTCTCTACAAGGGAGAAATCTCAAATTCTAAACTTCTAGATGCACTGGCAGTACAGCAGGGGAGGTCATTTTAGTCTGCTAGCCTCAATTCTCAGTGGGCCCCCTTGTGAAATCAACTCTGTTCCTAAGAATGTACAGGATTTCCTTTGCAGACTTATGTAGAAGTTGAAGAGGACAAGACTGACCACAAAAGGTATCGAGAGTGCCAAGTTCTTGTCTTCTAGCTTTGCTGATTTGTGTTGATAGGATCAAACTGGGAAAAAAAAATCGGCTAACATAACCCAAATTCACCTGACCTTAATATAATACTAACTTGACTCATAAAGCCAGTATAAGAGTTTGTTGTGGGAAATACCTCTTTCCAGGAGGAGGCTGTTCGACTCACAGTGGAGTGACCCAGTTTCAGACATAGGAATTTGGAATCAGCAATCACTAGTGCTGTTCTCCCAGTGATTCTCTCTAACCCTCCTAGAGGCTGGAACCACGCACCTTGATGATCTAGCAGAGGAGAAGAGGGTACAAGGTGGGTGACAAGGGGGCCCAGGATAACTCTGGCCTGTTAAAGAGAACTAGCTCTGGGTCTCAATCTGGCCCTACTGCTCCTTAGCTGTGTGACCTTGGGTAAGCTACACGAACTCCTTAGCCTCTGTCTACTGTCTGTAAAAATGGGAAGAACACTGACACGTAGTAAACATTCTATTTCTATTACTGTCATATTATTGATATAATTAGCCATTTTGGAAAAAGAGAGCCAAATTTGATGTTGGTGTACCAACCTTTCTACAGGGGCAGACATGGAAAGAGCGGGGAAATTTTGGTTATGCAAGAGACAACGGTGAGTAAGGGAGGCAGATGAAGTGCTAACATGCAGACTTTCCATTGTAGCATTCGGGATGGAACAAGACCTGGTTCCTCCTTTCTGGAAACTTACCTGTGAGTGTCTATTCCAGATACGTCCCGCAGAAAGCTTGATGAGCACTGTCAGGGACACACAGAGCATGGCAAAGCTCAGGCACAGGTCAAAGGCTTGAAGTGCCAGGTGGTACTCTTCGTAGTGTGGTGGGTCCACACAAACTGATGGGAATTTTGCATATGGAAACGGAAAGGCAACCGCGTAACCGAGGTAATCGGTCCCTGCAATCCCTGAAAGCGAGTAGAAGCAATATGGGCCGAGGAGGGCAGATTCCAAGGCTACTGCAAAGTGGAGTGGACATCCCATCACGCTCAGAATCACAAAGGTGAAACTAGCTTCCCACTGGAAGTAAAGCAAAAACAAATGGTTACCTTGGGGACTAAACTCTTCAAAAGCTCCTCAGCAATATGAAGAAAGAAAGAAATGTCAGGCATCCATCTCTTTCGCTGGGAAGCGAGGGAGAGATGGGTCACGTCACAACTTTCTCTTTTGGGCTCTTTGGTTCTCCTCTTGAATCTGGACTATGGAAGAATAATGTATGAACCAACCGGGCCAAAAGTGAAATGAATGCCATTCAACATCACGTGTTTGTATATCTTCTATCATGTGTGGACAGCCGGGGTGGGGTGAGAAAAACAAACACGAGTACACAGAATCCTTGCCCCATGCTGGCACCTTGGGAGTCGGGGCATGGTCCAGGGTCCAGCAGCACTCCATCCGGGGGAGTTCGTTAGAGATGTGGAATCTCACACCTCACCCAGATCGGCTGAATCAGAATTTGCATGTTAGCCGGATTCCCAGGTGATTCATGTGTACATTGAAGTTTGAGCCGTGGGAGGTGTATGATCGGATCAAGGTAGTCCTTCTATACTGTGGGATCGCTTGGCTCCATACTATTGAAAGGCAAAATATCATAGATATTTCTCTCATTTTCCCTCATTTGGGGGGAGAAGTAACCAAGACATTGGAAAGAGACCCCAAACTGAGGGGCTGAGCCTTAAAAGTTGATTAGACACAGAGGAGCCTGTAGATCCATTTCTTCAAAATGAAATTCAGGAGCATTCATGTCGGTTGTGTCCTCCCCAAACCATAATACTTAAATATTTACAAGTTTCCTAGTTTATTACTGAAACCCATCATTGTGGGGCATCAATCAGAGAGAATTCAGTGATAATCGGGAATCACATTCTCTATGTTCCATCCTGAACCGGCAGAGATTTGACCTTCAAACCTATTGACCCATCGCACCCGATGTCTGTGTCTTTACCAGGTATGTCCCGGTCCGCTGTCTGCGAGCCAACAGCAGAAGCGTGCCCGTCGTGATGGCCTGTGGGAGGAAAATGGAAAAATAACATCCGTGATAGAGTGTACCCCTGGAAAGAGTTCAATCCGTCTCATGGTTTGACAACTTTATTATGAACTAGAAAGAACAGCAAATGGCTAAATGGATTTATGGCTCGCATCTCCTCCTCATCTGGGATGACAATGAGGAAAAGAAGCCATCAGTGTCATAAAGACGTGATTCATACGCGCTCATTTTTTGATTTTCGGCGTTGCCTTTGCCATCACAATTATAACCTTCACTACTGTAAGGTGTCACTGCGGTAAAAGCTTGGCTTTATGACCCTTGCCATATGTCTTATTTTGATTAATTGTCGATTGTTCATCTTTCTCGCACATTGCTAAAATTGCAAAGGGGAGGAGCCGGAAAGGAAACGTGTCACAGAACCCTGAAAACCTGCCCAGCGACGGCATGATCTTTGATTTTCTGCTTTTCTTTTGAGATTCCGCAGCCTCAGCCTGCTGGTGGGATGCAACTATGTGATTCTTGTTTGCTAGGAACAAAGATTATAATTAGAGGGACATTAATCGTTCTGGGTGCAGTGGTGTTCAGCTGTTCAAGAGGCTTTTTTTTTTTTTTTTTAGTCTCCTTCCAGGGAAAAAGACCCAACTTGCAGAATGAAGACAGTTAAACAAAGGAAGGAATGGTGTCACCAGAACTGAGCAATATATAACAACAACAACAACAACAAAAATTCTAGGCTCATCTTTGATTCAGCTCTGGGTCCGATGAAGGAGACCTTTGTGGTCACTGAGCCTGGAAACCGCTTATTCCCGACCCATAAATCACTTGTTCCTGGTCAAGGAATGTTTTGAGGTTGACAGAGAAAACCAGGAAGAGGCTGAAATAAGATACAGAATGAGGGCAGGACCAAAAGTAGTTACAAATTAGGTTTTTGACAGAGAAATCAATATAACTATATGTATAGTATCCATACAAATGCATGCAAATTTAAGGGAGAAAAAAATCAAGAGTTTTTTTTACTAATATGGTTCTGGGGTATGCTGCTTCTGGAGCTTCTGTGTCCAGCCTGTTTTTTTTTAAAACAATATTTTATTTAAATTCAATTTGCCAACATTTAGTATAACACCCTGCGCTCATCCCATCGGCTGCCCTCCTCAGTACCTGTCCCCCGTTACCCCTCCGCCCCCCTCCACCCACCTCCCCTCCGGCCTGTTTTTTGTTGTTATTGCTGTTTGAGTTTGGTTTTTGTTTTTGTTTTTGAGTTCCAGCTCTTGATTTTCCTGGCATGTTTTATTTTGAACGTCCGACTTAGAGAATTTAGTTGTTGGGGAGGGGGGGTGGTGTGTGTGTGCGCACACACACACGTTTGCACAAAACCTCTCGTGCAGCTAAGTCTGAAATTCCAGACGTGGCGGGGCCATAGCATAACACTCCCGTGGATAAAAACAGAACCATCTGTAGTCAGAAGAGGTTGGCTTGATTCTGCAAGAGGAAAGTTTCCAAGGGAGCCTGCAGAGGTCGAGCCAGCGTAACTAGCACAACCAAACAGGGGAATTATGAGGAGCAGCCGAACCCTGATGCTGAGCCCGGGGCTGGTCTTTGCTTTCAGAGGCAAGGTGCTCTCCATGGACACGTCACTCCCGGGTGGGAGAGAAACCCTGGCCCCAGCAAGAGCAACCCGGCTGGTGCAACTCCCGGGGGATGGCTGGCATCACTAGATGCTTAGATTCCAGGTTGCCTTAACTACTTTGGCGTCAACTGTTGCTTTCCTTTCAAAAGTTGAAAAATGCTGCAGGATGGCAGTGGCCTGTTATTTCTGTTGCAGCTGCCAGCTTGAATTTTGCTTTGTTTACACAAAACTTTGAAAAGATCTTTCATGGAGTGGGCTGGTGTATGAATGCCATTCAGTAACTTGTGAAATCCACCCTGTGGATGGCGGCGGCTCAGGAGCGAGCACACCCATCTCTCGTGGTGCCCCCGAGACTGAGGGTCAGGGGTCCCCTGAGTCACAGCCTCCCTTTTCTTGCTTTTTTTTTTGTAAGGTTTATTTATTTATTTGAGAGATGGAGCGTGCACAAGTACGTGGGGGTGCAGAGCAGAGGGGCAGGGAGAGGCCCGGCCGACTGTGGGCTGGGCAGGGACTGGGCTGCTGGGCTGCTGGGCTTCATTGCCCCCCCACCCCCACCCCAGGTCATCACAGCCTGAGCCACAACCAGCACTGGGATGCTCACCTGACTGGGCCACCCAAGCACCCTCTCTTTTCCTTTTTAGAAACCTTGTATTTAGAGAGGGGGAGGGAAAAGAATGCAAAAGGAAGAGTTTTGGGGGGTAGGGAAGAGAAGTCAAGTGGGAAAGGCAATGTGGGAGGCAAGAGCCGGGAGCCAGGCCTCATCCTCCCCCAGCGCCTTTGGCCTTCGCCAGCTTTCTGCTCCCCAGGCAGTTCCCTGGCCATCACTTGGGTTTGGCCAGAGTAGCTGATGGCATGACCATCGGGGCCCCCCACCCAATCTTCAAAGCACCCCCACGAAGGACACAGTACCCAGGAGCCGATGAACTGGAGGAAGCAGGGAGGAGGCACAACAGACAGAGAGGAATCATTTTAAAATGGGCTAATTTATTCACTTGCAAACATCTAGCGGGGGTCTCCTACGAACACGGCTGCTGTGGGCACCGTGCGGCCTGCACACCGACGAACACTTGCTGAGCGCTCGCAGGATGCCAGGCACGACGCTCCACGCTTTAGTGCGCTCACTCACCTAACCCTGCTAACGATGGAGATCGTCTCCTACTTTTTAAATGAGGCACAGAGAGGCTCAATCCGATGAGCAGGCTCACGAAGTAATAGTCGTAGACATACTGGTTTCAACTTTCCCTGGAAGTTACAGTCCAGAGGCGACAGTCATGCGCTTCGACGAATGTCCACCAAATGAGGCAAGAAGAGCGCGTGCTTTCCGTGTGAGAGGAGCCCAGGGACAAGATCCCGCTCCCAGGGGGAGGATCGCTGATGAAAGCATCATGGGATGGGGATCCCTGGGGGGCTCAGCGGTTTGGCCCCTGCCTTCGGCCCAGGACGTGGTCCTGGGGTCCCAGGATCCAGTCCTGCATTGGGCTCCTTGCATGGAGCCTGCTTCTCCCTCTGCTTGTGTCTCTGCCTCTCTCTCTGTGTGTCTCTCATGAATGCATAAGTAAAATCTTTAAAAATAAATAAAAAAATAAAAATGCACATAAACACAACTATTAAAAAACATCTTCCATCATAACTTAAAAAAAAAAAAAGAAGATGAAGCATCGTGGGTTGAAGGGTGGATGTGATTCCAGGGGGAGAGGGCAGAGGGAAGGGCTTTCCGGGCAGCCTGAGCACCCTGTGCCACAGGGAAGCCAGGCTCGGGGAACAGTGAGACAGGTGCCCTGAGGGGGGACAGGCTGGTTCTGTGTACAAATGAGTAGATCAGGCTTGAGAGCCACCTTGGGGCCAGGTCGAGAAGGGCTTGGAAATTCAGGCTAACATATCTGGCCTTTGAACCACGAAGTCACACTGAAGGCTCTTGAAGAAGGAGCCTGACTGTCACAGCAGAGGTTTAGGAAGCTGAGCCTGTGGTCATGTGCACGATGGACTGGGAGGCAGGGAGGCCTGACGTCTCCGTGGGAACTTGGTCTTCAAGCTTTAAACACATTATTTTATTTACTTTTTTTTTTTTTTTTAAGATTTCACCTTTTTAAAAGTAATCTCTACACCAAACATGGAGCTTGAACCCACAGCCCGGAGATCAAGAGTCGTTAGCTCCACCGATGGAGCCAGCCAAGCATCCCCAGGCTTTTTTTTAAAACCTCTATCCATAGGAAGAAATATATTTTGCATGATGGTCAAGATATAAATATTTTTATATCTAACCAAAATCATAATACCGTTATTATGTGTGATACACTCTGATTCTATTCTATTCTATTCTATTCTATTCTATTCTATTCTATTCTATTCTATTCTTCTATTCTATTCTGGTTTTATAAGTGCTGCTAGCTACCCAATAGATTGATTTCATAACTCATTAATGAATGGGTTCTCACAGTTTGGCTATTGACGTTATCCTGGTGTAAAACCTGGGTGCGGGTGGGAAGTGGTGAGGAGTGAGGAGGAGGTGGTGCACAGCGACGCTGAGAGGGAAGCCTGCACAGGGATGTGCTTTGCAGGACAGAGGAGGGTCAGGGCAATGGGATGGCTGATGGGGTAGGAGCGGGGCCGAGGGCAGGCTGGCGTAGGGCACCGTCGCCCACATCACAGCCGCGGTGCATCCCTTGGCAACTGAGGCAGGCGGAGCCTCGTGCCTCACCCCAATTTATTGAATCTGCGTACACGGTTTAACAAGACCTGCAGGTGATTCATACGCACATTACGGTTTGAGAAGCGCTAGTTTGGAGGGAAGGATTGAGTCAAAAGTCACTCTAGGGTTTGAAATAGGATTCAGAGCCAGGAAAGTCAGAAGAAGAAATCATTGCTTTTGCTGGCGAGATGATTTGGGAGGGACAAGCTGAGCTTGGAGAGATAGAGGAGATCCAGGGGCACCTGGGGGGCTCAGGGGGTTAAACATCTGCCTTCGGCTCGGGTCATGATCTCGGGATCCTGGGATCAAGCCCGCTCTCAGGCTCTCTGCTCAGCTCCCAGTCCGCTTCTCCCTCTCCCTCTGCACAACCCAGCCCCGTGCACGTGTGTGTGCACGCTCTCTCTCAAGTGAATGAATCAAAATCTTTTAAAATAATAATAATAATAATAGCAATAATCAAAATGAAAGAAATTTAGGATATCCAAGTGGAAAACCGGCCATCAGGTGTTTGGGAATCACGGGACAGTTGAAGCTGTAAGAGGCTTGAGTGATGGTGTAATCAAGTCCCTTCTCTGGCAGAGGAGGACCCGAGGGCCTCTCTCCGCAGGCCCCGGCTCCAGGCGGGGTCCAGGGCGCAGCACTGCTGCTTGCCATTACCGAAGCCACTGGAGTTGCCAAGCCGCGCGCTCCAGGATTCAAGTCGAGCCCGGGCCGCAAGGCACTGCGACCTCCTCGCTGCATACTTTCTAGCAGCTGATGCCTTTAAATAGCCGGGGTCCGAAATGATAGGAAATCTGCTTATCACGTGGCTGTCAGAACAGAGCTAGGAGAGTCTGAGGACCAATATTCGTGAAGAATTTAGAAAGTCTGGAATGAAGGCACTGAACACAGTACGTATCACTTGTGGAAATCCATCTTCTATAAATCTCAAAAGAGAGAGGGAGTCTTTTGCAAAAGGAAACATCAGTGTGATTGAAACGTATAAACGGTTTTGCCACCAGAGCAGGATTCACTCTGCAGGCACGTTGAGAAGCTGGTGGGGTGTTAGGGGTGTCTGGGTGGCTCAGTTGGTTAAGCGTCTGACGTTGATTTTGGCTCAGGTCACAATGTCAGGGCTGTGAGATGGAGCCTGGCGTAGGCCCCGTACTCGCCGGGGCATCCGCTGGAGGGTCTCTCCCGCTCCTGCTCCCTCTGCCCTGCCCCCCATGCCCTCCCTCTCTCTGTCTCAAAAAAAAAAAAACTTTAAAAATAAAACAAAACCAAAAAAGTGACTGGTAAGGAAGGTTGTGGACTGAGTCAGAGACCTTTTAAAGTTGACCCCCGTCAAAAAGAGCTGTGGTTTGCAAGGAAACTCACGATGAAAAGAAAAAAAAATCATTGTTCCAAACTTAGACATCATAGAAAGAGTGAGCATTCTTATTGCTTTCCTTCTCATGAGGATTTTTTCCCCCTGCTTTAGTATAAATACCAGCTTGACTTTTAGTCCTTGACACCTAATCGGAGTTCAATGGTATGAAAAATTTTGGGCCTCCAGAGCACGGGACTCATTCACTTATTCAACCACATTTATTGAATATTTATTGAACCTGGTATGTGACTCTTTGTCCCAAGTGCTAGAGGTACAGCAGTAAAGAAAAAGAAAAAAAAATCCCACCCTTCTACATTATACACTTTTTGGGGAGGGGTATAAACAAACAATAAATAAATATATTATATAGTATATTACATGGTGATAAGGGTCATGGGGAACAGAATAGGACAGGGAATGAGAGATTGGGGATGCTGGTTGTGGGGGAGATTTACAATTTTAAATCAGGTAGTGAGGGTAATGAAGGAAGGCATCAATGAGAAAGTGACTTTTCTTCAAAGAATTAGGGAACCAGGGAAGAATTAGGGAAGTTAGGGAACGAGCCATGTGTGGGAAGAGGCTCCAGGCAGAGAACAGACAGTGCAAAGGCCCTGAGGCAAATAGCACATCTTGGAATATTTGCAAACAACAAGGAGTCAGCATAGTGGTTAAGGGAATGGGAAGAGCTAAGGGAAGAGTGGTAGGAGATGAGGTCCCGGGGGTAACAGAATGGACAACTCAGCTGCTTACCCGGGAGTGGAACGGGAAGGCCAGCGGATGGCAAAAGAATAGGAAGGAAGGGTTCGATCAGAGGTTGGGCACTGACCGATGGGATTCAGGGCAGGTGGCCTCCACATAGGCAACCCTGGCATATTGATTATTTTGAATTAAAGTTATTTAAGAAAAAACTTGTACAAGAAGAACACGGAGACTCCTCTGTCCCCCCGAAAGCAGTAAACGGATCCCCATGTGAGGGGGGTACTCTCTCTGCACCCGGAGGGGAGCAGCTTTCCTCCCTCGCAGCACAGACCAAAGGCATGGTATCAACTCGCGTATGCACAGGGCTCTGAAAATTGGCAAAGCTCTTTACCATACAACCCGCGTTCAAACTGGATCATTCTCGCTGAGCATCTTAGGGTTAGTTTCGCACACATTCTCTTTACCTGCCGAATTCCTCATGTTAGAGGTAAAAGCACTGAGAACTAGCCGACTGCAGGTCCTGCGCCTCACGACATACCAAGAACGTCAGAGGCAGGACTTGAACGTGGGCCCCATCTCACCCATCCCTCCTTTTGGATTCCAATTCCCCATGCTGTCAATCTCAAAATCAAAAAGTCACCCTGCCGGACACAGATCTTGTCATTTCTCTGGGTCTGACTGATAAAATAGATATTGGTGTAGAACAAGCCTATGTTCAATATTTTTTTTATCCTAATTAAATCTCAGTATCTGTTGAATGTCCTATGAGAGACTGCAGGGATAGGCAAACGCATTGTAAGAAGGGGATACAGGCCTGGACTGTCATTGTGGTGTTGTCAAACTTTGGATCCGTTCTAAAGACAGAATTTTTAAAAATTAATAGAACGTATCAGAATCCATTTCACACAGAAGGCTAAATATTTTCTGGAACTTTTGTTATATGGATTCAGTTATACGAATATATCAAAATCTATTTACCTAGAGAGAATTATATAGATGTATTGACGTACTCTCTACGTCCCGATGTAAAATGTTTTTCTTGCTCTGGGTCATCAACCAGGAGTGTGGCAGCTGCTTGGATAAATGTAACTGTCATCTTTGCATTCCAGTAGATGTTTAACAAATAATTCTTTAAACGGACGTACAGGTTTAGGCAGGAGATGGGGAAAAGAGCAGATTGGCAAGACTGGGGAGGGAGACGTAGAAGAGTGTTTTGGAAAAGAAAAGGAAAAAGAAAAACCCTATACCATGCTTTCCCTGTTCAGTTCCACACTCTCATCATTCTGCTTTCCCCCATCTACCCACCATCCTCGAACCCCACGAGATGGAATATTTAAAAAATTGAGACCTCGTTCTTTTGTTTTTTTTTTCCTTTGTAACTCAAGCACGCAGTAGGCTATCAATGCATATTTAATAAATAGGTTAAAATGATATGTTCTGGGGTCTTACTTTTAAGTGATATCCAAGTTAAAGCTAGATTTTTTTTTATGATAGTCAGAGAGAGAGAGAGAGAGAGAGAGAGAGGCAGAGACACAGGCATAGGGAGAAGCAGGCTCCATGTACCGGGAGCCCAACGTGGGATTCGATCCCGGGTCTCCAGGATCGCGCCCTGGGCCAAAGGCAGGCGCCAAACCGCTGCGCCACCCAGGGATTCCCTAGATTTTTTTTTAAAGACTGAAAATGTTGCCTCTCTCAAGAGTAGCTACATTTTAATGGAAAGACTTTAAAGTCCAAATTCTCCAGTGTCCAATGGTGAACGTCAGGCATCACGGGAAACAATGGGAGAGGGATTTGTTGCAAGGGTCTGTAACTCCCCTTAAATCATCCTGCCGGAGGACATCTATGTGCAAGGCTAGCTGTGCCCATTTCCCTGCCCCAGAGAGCTGGGGTGCCAGTCCCACCCTCGTTTGTGCCATCATCCAACAAGCAGGCCTGGAGCACCTACCTGGTACCGGCTTGTACTGGGCACACGCACCCTTTCCTAATGAACCGCAAAGTTAGCGAGGAACGTCCTCCAACTTCTTCAATTACGTTCGGTTTAGACAGTTGCGTGCAAGGAAAAACGTGGGAGAATGAATATTTGGGGCTTGCAAATCTGTGGATCATGACGACACACCTCCGTGGTTGTAGTGAGAGCGTTCGTCTGAAAATTATTTTACGTTCTTCTCCATTTTTACATTATTATTTATGGTTTACATTTTTTCCCCTAAATCCAAATTTCAAAAGATAGATCCCACTTTCTGAGACCATGAAGGTGAGAAGATTAAAGTAACGTTTTAAGAATTTCTTGAACAACAACAACAAAAAAATTTCTTGGACAGCATTTCAGTAGAGCACCCACGGTAGTATAACCATAACACCATAGTCAGAAAGACCCTACACTTATGAGGCAACTGGTAGAAATCAATGTTCTCCGGTAAGTGCTAATCTTCTGTAGGATTTTCACTTCTTTGTATCGTTGGAAAACTTAAACAGGCCCTGTTACTCTTTTTCTACCTTCTCTCCCTTCTTTCTTTACTCTCTCAATATAGGTAATAAAATATTTTCCTACCAAAGCTCCATTCCAGATGGGGCAAGCAATCCAGACACTCCATCCCGTGAACCAAAGCTTGTACGAAAAGACAGGGAAGAAAGCAGTAACTCCAGAGGATACACTGAGAGCCCCCAGAGAAATGAGAATTCGGCCTGCGGCCTGGTATAGGCTCTGCATTTTCGTCCGTGACCTGGGTCCTGGATCTCAAAGATGTTTTGTTACCAAAACATGAGAGTATGTCAGGCCTCAGTAAACAGAAGTTTCTTAGAGACAGTAGCCATGACATGTGTGCACTGTTGATCTACTTGGAAACAAGCTTTTATTTGTTTCACCCAAGATAATGAAATGTAATGAAATAATCCTTGACATGAATTTGACACAATAAATTCTAATACTAGTTTACTGAGAATGAGAGAGAGAGAGAGAGAGAGAGAGGGAAATCATTCCTCGTTTTGGATTACGGCCTCCGTTCCCTTCATTCTGCTCCGGCGTGGGGAGTGCCCACTTCCTGGCTTAATCAGATTCAAAGGCTTGCTGACTGAGCTAATTGTTTCTCAACTCAACCTGCCTGGTGGTTCCAGCATAAAGCCAACATCCTTTGTGCACAATAGATCCACATTCCCAGCACAATTTCCCACAAACCAAAGTAAAAATAAGCACTCTGATCACTTTGCATTACATTTAATTTAAATGATTTAAAGCAAAAAAAAAAAAAAAAAAGAGAGACTTCTCCCCATCTTTCAAAGTTCAATTCTACTACAATTGTGTTTGAAGTTTTGATAAAGATTTCTGATGTGGCTTCACTCCCAAAGAGGCATAAGCTGCATTATATGGAGTCACGCCTTGTTTTAAGAAACCGGCTTCACCTTAGTTATTTTACTATAATTCAATCATCAAGTAGAGGACAAAGATGGAAGGGGATGTAGTTGTAACATAAATGCTGACGAGCAATTTATTAGTTGACTAAAATACCAATCTCCAATCATTCTTGAATCATAATTCAAATTCTAGATGTTGGGCTTATTCAAGCAACTGTAAAAGTTTATTTCTTAATTTCTCATGCACTTGTGAAAGTGGTGCATATTTGCTTTTGACTAGTAGGACATGTTTGTCTCTTCTAAGATAATATCTTGAAAACTCAGACCACTTGGGACGCCTGAGTGGCTCAGTGGTTGAGCATCTGCCTTTGGCTCAGGTCATGACCCCCGGGGTCCCAGGATCGAGTCCCGCATCTCCCTCCCCGCAGGGAGCCTGCTTCTCCCTGCCTGTGTCTCTGCCTCTCTGTGTGTGTCTCTCAGGAATAAATAAATAAAATCTTTTTTTTTAATAAATAAAATCCTTAAAAAAGAAAACTCAGACCACTTTCTGAAGATATCTGAATACTTTTCCTATTCAATTTTAATACCTTTTCTCCTAAAGGAGAATGATGAAAAATCATTTTATGAATGGAAATGTAGTGGTTTAGAACATGCGTTTGGGCCTGAGACAGAGCTGGGATCCATTACCTGCCAGGTATGTGTCCTTGGGCAAGAGCAAGTTACCTGATGTTCCAGGACTGTTTCTTCCTATGGGAATAAAATCCGTGTGGTTTTACTGTTGCTTCTGTGCATCATCATATTGCGTCTTGATGCCTCTTAGGCAGCTCCCAAAGGCCCCTTCCAGGTATGAGGAGGAGGAAGCTTCTCTTGGATGCTCTGCTTTTTCCCCTTCTGTCTTTCTACCCTTAACGGCCATGCCACCGCGTGCCCCAGATTCTGAAGCAGTTGCTTTCCTGGACATACAGGACCCAGGAAACCAGCTAAGGCTTTCTGCAATAGCTGTTCTTTCCCAGATCCTCTCAACACTACGGGAGCGTATTCTCTTTCTCTTTCTTCCTGAAGCCACCGGGTAAGCTCCACGAGGGCAGAGGCCTTCCAAGTCTTAGGCGTCCCCTAGCCGTATGGGATGCTCCCAATACCTAGAATTGTGTCTGGCCCAGAGTAGATACTTAATATACAGTTGTTGAATTCATTAATTCACCAGCTAATTCATTAGGTCATTGGTGCTGGGCCCTCGCGGCCCTGAGGGTCTGCCCCCGTGTAGAGCTCCGTGTGCCCCCCATGCCACCATGTCCCCAGCTAGTGTGTTCCCCTTGCTACAGAGGGAAGGGGGTCTGGGCTGAAGAAAGACTTGTTTGTGTTGGTATTTGGTTTGGGCTGTTTTGACTTTTTCCTTTACTTTTTATCTCAAGGTTATAGCTACATGACATGTCAATATACTGTGGGTCAGATCATTCTCTCCTGTTTGCATGTTTGGAAAATAAAGACTGTTGAAATACTCATGTTAAACAGTACAAAGATGGCAAACAAAGAGAATATTTTTTTTGTTGTTGTTTTAATCTGGGGCGGGGGGGCTTTTTTAAGCGTTTGTAACACTGACAGGCTAACCCTGACATTGCCAGTGTGACTTAGAAACCCGGATGTAGTCATGATTGGAAGAGTTGTTGCCCCCGAATGCAACGAAGAGAAGGGGCAGAGGTAGAGCTAGGGATTTCTTTGTGTGTGTGTGTGTGTGTGTGTGTGTGTGTGTGTGTGTGTATTTTTCTATGAACTAGGGATTTCTTGCTGGGAGTTTTCCCAGATGCACCTTTCTGCAAGAACCTATCTGTGCTCATGACCTTAGATCATAGAGACTTCCAGGGAGGGCAGCTATTGGGAAAGATGAGAAAGTCTAATTTCTGCTTCTGACCAGGGCTTCCTCCAAGCTCGGCCACGTCACCTGGATTCCCAGGACCCACCCCAAGACCCCTCCAGGACCTCTGGCCACTCCAGGGCTCCCTGCCTCCCACTGGGCACCGCTGGAAGGTGGGTCTGTAATCCTCCCTGAAGGTGGTGGAGTCAAGATCTTTGCTGGCTGCTTTGCAGACCCTCCCTTCCCTCTTACCCAAGGGGATCCAGCAATCTTTGCTCAGGAAAGAATGGCGGAAGTTGCACCCAAGTCTTCAGTCCAGCCTTGCTACAAACAAAAACAAAAGCAGCAAAAACAAAACAAAACAAAACAAAGAGGGAAATATGGCCTGGACCCTCTAGAAGAGGTGGGATAATGTCAGTGATGCTGACCTAGGGAGAGAAGCAGATGTGGTCACTCTCTACCTCCTCAGATACGTTCCTTTACATGTGAGCCCTGGAAATAGCTCTGCATGTGCTAAAGGGCCTTGGGTTTTCTTAAAAGTCGGTTTCAAAGTTACAGACAGGGTCTGTTTTCGCCAAGATAAAAGAGAACGGAGCTCTAAACAAGAGATGAAATTCAACTGCTTTACTGTTCCAGTGGCTTCTGGGGACGGGCTTCATTTGTTTACATAGCAGAGAGTCAGCTCCTGCAGCACAAAGAGCATGAACTTTGACATCAGAAAGACCTGGGTTTGGTGCTGAGGATTCCATCTACTACATACAAAAGGAATGAAAAATTAGAAAACTTACACTCTGCTAACCCCACCGCAGTAACCGATTCAAACACAATGGAAAAATGATAGTTCTCCAATGGAAAATATGGCACTCGCCACCTTCACCAAGCCATCGAGCTTCATATCACCCCTTCCAGGACAAACTGACATCCCTGACTCCTGATATCACACGGTGGAAGGACACGTCTTCACTCACGTACTGTTTCTTGCAAAAATGTTTAGCTTGAGTCTCATCACAAAGAAACAGTCAGACAAATTCAGATCACAGGGACATTTTAAAAAGCACCAACCTGGGCCCTTCAAAACTGTCCACGTCACAAAAGATAACAAAATATTCCTGAGACACTTGGGGAAACTTGAATATGGGTTTCAGGGGGTGCCCCGAGTGGCTGGGTCACTTGATCTCCTGACTCTTGCTTTCGGCTCAGGTATGACCTCAGGGCTGTGGTGAGATCAAGCCCTGTATGGGGCTCAGCTCAGAGTCTGCAGGAGATTCCCTCTCTCCCTTTGCTCCTCTCCCCACCCCCGCTCTCTCTCTCTCAATAAATAACTAAAGTCTTTAAAAAATAATAAAATAAAAATAAATATGGGTTTTATATTAGATAACAGTGTGTATCAGCGCTGAGTATCCTGGAGGACCAGTGACACGATAGTTATATGAGATAATGTCCCGTCGGTGAAACTAGTTAAGTCAGTGTTCCTTATGCTTTTTTTCAACACTTCTATAGGTCTGAAATTTTTAAGTTAAAATGTGAGGCATCAAAAGGAAAAAAAAATCAGCTTTCGTAACTGCATAAAATGAGAGGCCTAACGTTTACACAGACATACTGGCTCAATAATCCTTGAGAATATTGATGCCTGCAGGTCACGGTGTAAGGAATGTGAGGAAGAGCTGCTTTGAGCCCCCTTTTAGCACCAAGATGGCACCTGTCTTCCTGGAATAGGGACGATGGAACAGGTATGTTGGGTTACCCTGTGAAGCTACACCTGTCATGCAGACACAGCGATGGGTATCTTTTACATACTCTTTTATCTTTCCAGCGATTCCAGTTTCTTCACTGGATTACAATCCTTTCTAAGGCTCCTTCCTAATGCACATTTCCTTCTGCTTTTTCCTAGCCGTTCGACTTCAACTTTGAGTGAACCCTCTCTTCTCATAATGGCTTGGGGTTTAAGGAGAGCAAAGTTCAATTTTTATCATCCCTAACTGGGAATTGTCAAATTTAAAGCCTTCCAATCTGCAAGATGTTGGGGCCCAAAGAGAGATTTGTGCACCAGCTCGTGCTTACCTAGTTTAGATTTTATCTGCCTTTTGTATATCTGACCCTCAAATGTGTTTTGGAATCATCTGGAATTTATCAGAATTTTCCCATGTTTTTGCAAAGCAAAACAACTTCAGTCTGTCACCGGCGAACTTGTGCAGCTAGCTGTCAGTTTGCTCTCCCAAGCCCTGCAGCTGCAAGGAAATGCTCTTATTGGCAGACTTGACCTCACCAGGCAGCCTCCCACAGGCTACTGTGGAGATTGTCTGCCTTTTGGGAAGGCTGCTCCTATCTTGTTTAATCACGGAGATAGAGGAGCCCCAGATAGAACTGAGATTGTGACAGCGGCTGTGACTGATTGGTGCTCTGGCCACCACCGAGCAGGGTGGGGGGGGGGGGGAAGAAACTAAGAAAACAGGAAGAGAGAAACAGTGGGGGTGTCTGGGGAAGAGAGGTGGAGAGAAGATGGAGAG